ATCCCTTCCAACTCTATTATTATTATTATTATTATTATTATTATTATTATTATTATTATTATTATTGTTGTTGTTGTTGTTGTTGTTGTTGTTGTTGTGTTGTTAAATAAATTTGACTTACACATTATAGTTTATATTGGATTCAAGAATGTGAAACTATAAGAAGTGAATCTATTTGTGTTGCCTTCTCATAGAAAGTGTGTCTTTCTTTCTCCCATAATCTCCTGTGTTGCTACAATTGTTTCTAATCATCTAACTGGCCAGAGCTGATGAGAACTGTAGTCCAAATTATCTAACAAAGTCAGTTTGCCTATCTCTGAGCTCAATAGGTTGCTACACAAATTCATTTCCCACTTGCTACCTGTGGAAACCTCCGTTGAAAGAAAACAGTTAAATATGACCCTATATAAAGTTGCAAGAGACAATTTAGGTCACCTGGAACAAGACCTTTGCTCAGTGCTACTTTCTAAATACATAGTTTAGTTGTAATGCTGTTATCTGCAGTGACATATAAATAAGTAAACATAGTCAGCTCTTAGGTTATAGTCCACTATCCCAAAATAAGAAAAACCAGATAAGAGCAGTTAGCTGCATTTGGAACAAGAATAACAGGAAGAAACTGGATAAAATGACTGAAAAAAACATTCTTCTTGGTGGTAAGAAAAGGGATTTGACAATGCTGAAAGGGAGTAAAAATGGCATCAATCCTAAAAACGGTCCCTAGGATATGTAGCAAAATTAGACTCTACCATGCATTCTGCCCTGAGCTACCTTGTCAGGCCCAATCAAAGAACAACATAGAACAATCAAGCCAGAATTTAGTTATTTGCTCACACCCTGTAGACAGAATCTTGCCAGATTAAATTTATACATTCTAACTCAGATGACCATCAGGTATACTACTGCAGGCAAGAATCCCTCAGAAGAAATGGAGTAGCCTTCATAGTCAATAAAATAGGAAAAGCAATACTGGGATACAATCCCCAAAATGACAGAATGATCTCAGTTCGAATACAAGGCAAACCATTCAATATCACAGTCGTCTAAATCTATGTCCCAACCACTGGTGCTGAAGAGGATGAAATTGACCGGTTCTATGAAGCCCTACAGCACCTTATAGAATCAACACCAAAAAATGATGTCCTTATCATCATGGGGGATTGGAATGCTAAAGTAGGAAGCCAAAAGATAACCGGAATAACAGGCAAGTTTAGCCTTGGAATACAAAATGAAGCAGGGCACAGGCTGATAGAATTTTGTCAAGATAATACGATGGTCATAACAAACACTCTTTTCCAACAACCCAAGAGACGGCTCTACACATGGACATCACCAGACAGTCAACACAGAAATCAGATTGACTATGTGCTCTGCAGCCAAAGATGGAGAAGCTCTATACAGTCAGTAAAAACAAGACCAGGAGCTGACTGTAGCTCAGATCATGAGCTTCTCGTTGCAAAATTTAGGCTTAAATTGAAGAAAGTAGGGGACAGCGCTAGGCCACTCAGGTATGAACTAAATCATATTCCAGATGAATATACAGTAGAGGTGACAAATAGATTTAAGGAATTAAATCTTATAGACAGAGTGCCTGAAGAACAATGGACGGAGGTTCGCAACATTGTACAAGAGGTAGTAACTAAAACCATCCCAAAGAAAAAGAAATGCAAGAAAGCAAAATAGCTGTCTGAGGAAGCTTTGCAAATAGCTGAAGAAAGAAAGGAAGTGAAAGGCAAAGGAGAAAGATACACCCAACTGAATGCAGAATTCCAGAGAATAGCTAGAAGAGATAAGAATACCTTCTTAAACAAACAGTGCAAAGAAATAGAAGAAAATAACAGAATAGGGAAGACCAGAGATCTCTTCAAGAAAATTGGAGATATGAAGGGAACTTTTCATGCAAAGATGGGCATGATAAAAAACCATAATTGCAGGGACCTAACAGAGGCAGAAGAGATTAAGAAGAGATGGCAAAACTACACAGAAGAACTATACAAGAATGAGCTTAATGTCCCAGATAACCATGATGGGATGATCACTGACCTCGAGCCAGACATCCTAGAATGTGAAGTGAAATGGGCCTTAGGAAATCTGAGCAACAACAAAGCTAGTGGAGGTGACAGTATTCCAGCTGAGCTATTCAAAATCTTAAAAGACGATGCAGTAAAAGTGCTACACTCAATTTGCCAGCAAATTTGGAAAACTCAACAATGGCCACAGGATTGGAAAAGGTCAGTTTACATTCCAATGCCAAAGAAAGGCAATGCCAAAGAATGTTCAAACTATCGCACCATTGCACTAATTTCACATGCTAGTAAAGTTATGCTTAAAATCCTACAAGCTAGACTCCAGCAGTATGTGGATTGAGAACTACCAGAAGTACAAGCAGGATTTCGAATAGGCAGAGGAACTAGAGATCAAATTGCCAACATATACTGGATCATGGAGAAAACTAGGGAGTTCCAGAAAAACATCTACTTCTGCTTCATTGACTATGCAAAAGCCTTTGATTGTGTGGATCACAACAAATTGTGGCAAGTTCTTAAAGAGATGGGAGTACCAGACCACCTCATTTGTCTCTTGAGAAACCTATATGCGGGTCAAGAAGCAACAGTGAGAACTGGACACGGAACTACTGATTGGTTCAAAATTGGAAAAGGAATCCGGCAAGGCTGTATACTGCCACCCTGCCTATTTAACTTATATGCAGAGCACATCATGAGAAAGGCAGGGCTAGATGAATCAAAAGTTGGAATTAAGATTGCCCGGAGAAATATCAACAACCTAAGATATGCATATGATACCACTCTAATGGCAGAAAGTGAAGAGGAACTAAAGAGCCTCTTGATGTGGGTGAAGAAGGAGAGTGCAAAAGTTGGCTTGAAACTCAACATTAAGAAAACCAAAATCATGGCATCCAGCCTTCTCAATTCCTGGCAAATAGATGGGGAAGAAATGGAGGTAGTGACAGATTTTATTTTCCTGGGCTCCAAGATCGCCTCAGATGCAGACTGTAGCCAAGAAATTAAAAGATGCTTGCTCCTGGAGAGGAAAGCTATGGCAAATCTAGACAGCATACTAAAAAGCAGAGACATAACCCTGCCAACAAAAGTGCGTATAGTCAAAGCCATGGTTTTCCCAGTTGCAATGTATGGCTGTGAAAGTTGCACCATAAGAAAGGCTGAGCGACAAAGAATTGAGGTCTTTGAACTATGGTGCTGGAGAAGACTCCTGCGAGTCCCTTGGACTGCAAGGCATTCAAACTGGTCAGTCCTAGAAGAGATCAACCCCGACTGCTCTTTAGAAGGCCAGATCCTGAAGTTGAAACTCAAATACTTTGGCCACATAATGAGAAGGAAGGACTCACTGGAGAAGGGCCTAATGCTGGGAAAGATTGAGGGCAATAGAAGAAGGGGACGACAGAGAATGAGGTGGCTGGATGGAGTCACTGAAGCAGTAGGTGTGAACTTAAATGGACTCCAGAAGATGGTAGAGGACAGGAAGACCTGGAGGAACGTTGTCCATGTGGTTGCGATGGGTCGGACACGACTCCGCAATTAACAACAACAACAACCCTACAGATATACTCTGAGAAATTCTAGGGAATGGCTATGCTAAATCTTTCCTCAGTCTTCAATCCAGCTTGTCAATCTTGTCTCATTCCCCCTCCTTGGAATATGGTCCCTCCTTCCTGGGAAAGTGCTGCTTCATGGTAGTCCATAATGCCATTTCCTCCTTCAGAGACACAATCCATCATACATATAAGTCTACAGTCTATAGGTGAGTCAAAATTTGGCAGCCCAACTTCTCTCTGTTTCCAACAGATTTTTTAGCAGTTTTAATTATTGGCATTTAGTTAAGTCCAAACGGTTTGTTTTAATTTTTGAAGCTTTAAGTCCAAGGCGGGGGGGGGGGAGTTGGGGGGATTTCCCAAGAACTTCATTGGTTTTGGCTGGATCTGCTGGGGTATGTTGTGAGTTTATAGACATGCTAGGAAATACAGCAGGTTCAAAACAAGAAGAAACCATGCCAAATATATAGTGAAGTCCATATGTATGGTAAAGTGAGATAAGCCATAGCTAATGGCTGAAAGCAGTATTATGCAAAAACAACTGAAGCTACAATCTTCCTACACCACCTTACCAAGTACACTTGAGGCCTGCTGAGGACAGCAGTTCCTTAGTTTTCTAATTATTGTTGCACAACAACTATACTTTACCATGTGATTTGCAATATGGATTCCGCTTTACAGAATTACTATTGTTGATGTAAAGATGTGAAACAAATATCTTATGCTGCTATATACCGTCTTGTGGGGGGAAGGCAGAAAGGACATCGTAAAACCTAGTCTCACATTTACCAAACTTTGATTGCAATAGACAAACTTTAATCCAGAAATCTCCTTGAAGTGATGGAAAAATCAATTGCATCCAAAAGATTTTTTTGATGTGGAAGTTAAATCTGAATTAATTTCATCCTAATGCTCTGATATCCATGATGATTTATGTTATTTATGTTGTTTACATCATGAAGAGAAGGATGAGGGGTGACATGATAGCAGTGTTCCAATATCTCAGGGGTTGCCACAAAGAAGAGGGAGTCAAGCAATTCTCCAAAGCACCTGAAGGCAGGACAAGAAGCAATGGATGGAAACTAATCAAAGAGAAAAGCAACCTAGAACTAAGGAGAAATTTCCTGACAGTTAGAACAATTAATCAGCGGAACAACTTGCCTCCAGGAGTTTGAATGCTCCAACACTGGAAGTTTTTAAGAAGAGACTGGACAGCCATTTGTCTGAAGTGGTATGGGGTTTTCTGCCTGGGCAGAGGATTGGACTAGAAGATCTCCAAGTTCCCTTCCAACTTGATGATGATGATGATGATGAAAATGATGTCATTTATAAAACAGTGAAGTAAACATGTGTCTTATATGCGATAGTATGCTTTGAAATGTGGAACAATATGAATAGTTGCTCAAACCTCTTTTGCTAGGATTCTTACCTGGAACTCTTTTGGCCCAGTTGATCATATGAACCAATTCTCGATCAGCAAGGTTGGTCAGCAACGTCATCATTGAGGATTCGTTGAACGGCCTGTTAGGGTCATATTCTGAATAGACAATAGGTGGTTCTGCCTCTAGCAAAGCAGAAACCATCTGATCTGCAGAGAGGGAAAGAGCTGGACTGTTTTTTTTGCCATGCTTGATCATTAATGGACTTGGCCAAAGATTTGGGTTCCTTGCCTCTGCCACTGTACCCACGTTTCTGCTATCGTGTTCTTCTCTTTGACGTTTGTGCTTCAGTATTCGGCCACCTCTGCGATCTTTTCTTATGCCTGGAAGAAGATATAAATACAAATAACATATGTTATCCACTGACTTCTGTAATGTGACTAAAGTTTATTTAAGCCGACCTGCATTTAACAACTGTCAGTTCATAGCATCAAATCTTACGAAACTATCATCATCTTTATAGAATACAACAAACAGCATGCAGAAATAAAATATAGGATGTTAACCTGGTTGAGTAAAAAGCATTTTATAGGAGAATTGTGACACAAAATTAATTGCAACATTGTAAAGCACTGTGAGGAGCCTAGCCCAGTGATGGCGAACCTTTTAGAGACTGAGTGCCCAAACTGTAACCCAAAACCTACTTATGTATTGTCGGGTGCCAGGTGGGCGTGGCCTATTGGTTGGGTGTGGCCCATTGGCTGGATGTGGCCCATTGGGTGGGTGTGGCTGCAGTGGTAATGGCAGACTGGGTGGGACTAAAAAGTTCAATCAATCAATTCCAACTTTGCGAGATCTTTTTTTTCCCGTGAGAAGTTGAAATTGATTGATTGAACCTTTTTTTTTGTACACGGCAGCGGAGGCCTAAAGCGAAAAGGTTTTATAAAACCCAGCTGAAGGCCTAGGACTGGGGTGACGGCTCATGTGCCCACAGAGAGGGCTCTGCGTGCTACCTGTGGCATGCGTGCCATAGGTTCGCCACCATGGGCCTAGCCCATTACAGGAATAAAATACCTTGGGGCAGTTCTGAAATAAATTATTTGATACCAATTATTTGTTCATTCAATACCTCCTAATGTAGAGTGTATAATAAATTTACAGACAATTTCTGGGATATCTGGTCAAATCATCTACTTCTGTGCCAAACATTAAACCAGTCATAGACAGCTAGGAATCAATATTCATATATATTTGACAAGGAATAATTAGGAATTAGAGAACAATCTTTAGGCCTACTTCCTAAATGGGAAAGAACACTGCAGATCCAGACTCTGAAAGAAAAGATTACATTATTATCTGAGAACTTTCTTACAAGTGAAAATTTCACCCTGATTTCTTTCTTAAATGTTCAAACTGACCAAACTTTTGTTTTATGATACTTGGAGATCTGGCATCAAAGTTTTATTCAGGCTTGATATTGTTTAGTTTCCAAGCTTTGACATTCTTTAAAAATTTCACAAAAATTTGTTTTCTCCACATTAACAAATGAAACTTTGTGAAACTTTTAGAAAATATATTTATAAGAAAACATATGACCAACATCAACCATGATTCGACTGTGACAGTCATAGATAGAAAAGCTTTTATCTACTTCAGTTTCCGAAAAAGCCATTCTGATTTCTACGTCGTCTGGTTGAACCATAAAAGATATAAAGTTGTGCGTATCAGCACACAGAGAGCAGAAGACTGATCAGAATGTTTATACCAGTATTATTTTTAAGCCGATGAACAGTGATGCTGAAGATAAGTTTTTAAACTTGTGGGAGATTAAAGGTAAAGTGGAGCACAGAGTTTTGCGATTATTTTGACCAGAACATCAGAAAAATATTGTGACAGATTCATCTTGGAGAAAAATTGCAATTATAAGAAAAGGTTTGGCTTTTCTAGAAAAAAATGAAAAAAATAGATTGCTGAGTTAGAAGCTGTATGACAAGAAGGAAATTAGCAAGGGTGAAACCCTCCCACTTTTCTGTTTTATTCAAATATTATGAAGATAAAGACTTCCTTAAATTGAACTTGATTCCTAGTGATTACATAGATGGGTCAATGTGGTTTTCTGCTCTCCCCATCTTTAATTGGATCATAGTGTTTGTCTTCTTTTAACTTATTTACATTTTAGTATATTTATATTTACCTTTTACGATAGTAAGTGCCCAGTTACCTTGTGGTAAGATGGGCAGCCAAAAAAATTATAAATAAACAAGCAAACAAACTATGGCACGCTGACTTCCTTAAAAAAACAAAGTAGTTAGGATTGAATTTTTTATAGAGTTGCCCTGAATGATGATTTCAGTTTTTATCCCTTCTCATTTCATATGAATTCTAAAAGTGTTGTTGTTGTTGTTAATTGCGAAGTCGTGTCCGACCCATCGCGACCCCATGGACAACGTTCCTCCAGGTCTTCCTGTCCTCTACCATCTTCTGGAGTCCATTTAAGTTCACACCTACTGCTTCAGTGACTCCATCCAGCCATCTCATTCTCTGTCGTCCCCTTCTTCTATTGCCCTCAATCTTTCCCAGCATTAGGCTCTTCTCCAGTGAGTCCTTCCTTCTCATTAGGTGGCCAAAGTATTTGAGTTTCAACTTCAGGATCTGGCCTTCTAAAGAGCAGTCAGGGTTGATCTCTTCTAGGACTGACCGGTTTGAACACCTTGCAGTCTAAGGGACTCGCAGGAGTCTTCTCCAGCACCATAGTTCAAAGGCCTCAATTGTTTGGCGCTCAGCCTTTCTTATGGTGCAACTTTCACATCCATACATTGCACTGGGAAAACCATGGCCTGGACTATACGCCCTTTTGTTGGCAGAATGATGTCTCTGCTTTTTAGTATGCTGTCTAGATTTGCCATAGCTTTCCTCCCCAGGAGCAAGCGTCTTTTAATTTCTTGGCTGCAGTCCCCATCTGAGGTGATCTTGGAGCCCAGAAAAATAAAATCTGTCACTACCTCCATTTCTTCCCCATCTATTTGCCAGAAATTGAGAGGGCTGGATGCCATGACTTTGGTTTTCTTAATGTTGAGTTTCAAGTTTTGCACTCTCCTTCTTCACCCGCATCAAGAGGCTCTTTAGTTCCTCTTCACTTTCTGCCATTAGAGTGGTATCATCTGCATATCTTAGGTTGTTGATATTTCTCCCGGCAATCTTAATTCCAACTTTTGATTCATCTAGCCCCGCCTTTCTCATGATGTGCTCTGCATATAGGTTAAATAGGCAGGGCAACAGTATACAGCCTTGCTGGACTCCTTTTCCAATTTTGAACCAATCAGTGGTTCCGTGTCCAGTTCTCACTGTTGCTTCTTGACCCGCATATAGGTTTCTCAAGAGACAAATGAGATGGTCTGGTACTCCCACCTCTTTAAGAACTTGCCACAATTTGTTGTGATCCACACAATCAAAGGCTTTTGCATAGTCAATGAAGCAGAAGTAGATGTTTTTCTGGAACTCCCTAGCTTTCTCCATGATCCAGCGTATGTTGGCAATTTGATCTCTAGTTCCTCTGCCTCTTCGAAATCCTGCCTGTACTTCTGGTAGTTCTTGATCCACATACTGCTGGAGTCTAGCTTGTAGGATTTTAAGCATAACTTTACTAGCATGTGAAATGAGTGCAATGGTGTGATAGTTTGAACATTCTTTGGCATTGCCTTTCTTTGGAATTGGAATGTAAACTGACCTTTTCCAATCCTGTGGCCACTGTTGAGTTTTCCAAATTTGCTGGCAAATTGAGTGTAGCACTTTTACTGCATCATCTTTTAAGATTTTGAATAGCTCAGCTGGAATACTGTCACCTCCACTAGCTTTGTTGTTGCTCAGATTTTCTAAGGCCCATTTCACTTCACATTCTAGGATGTCTGGTTCGAGGTCAGTGACCATCTCATTGTGGTTATCTGGGATGTTAAGCTCATTCTTGTATAGTTCTTCTGTGTAGTTTTGCCATCTCTTCTTAATCTCTTCTGCCTCTGTTAGGTCCCTGCCATTTTGGTCCTTTATCATGCCCATCTTTGCATGAAACGTTCCCTTCATATCTCCAATTTTCTTGAAGAGATCTCTGGTCCTCCCTATTCTGTTATTTTCTTCTATTTCTTTGCACTGTTCATTTAAGAAGGCATTCTTATCTCTTCTAGTTACTCTCTAGAATTCTGCATTCAATTGAGTGTATCTTTCTCTTTCTCCTTTGCCTTTCACTTCCCTTCTTTCTTCAGCTATTTGCAAAGCTTCCTCAGACAGCCATTTTGCTTTCTTGCATTTCTTTTTCTTTGGGATGGTTTTAGTTGCTACCTCTTGTACAATGTTGTGAACTTCCATCCATAATTCTTCAGGCACTCTGTCTATCAGATCTAATTCCTTAAATCTATTTGTCAACTCTACTGTATATTCATCAGGAATATGATTTAGTTCATACCTGAGTGGCCTAGTGCTTTTCCCTACTTTTTTTCAATTTAAGCCTAAATTTTGCAATGAGAAGCTCATGATCTGAGCCACAGTCAGCTCCTGGTCTTGTTTTTACTGACTGTATAGAGCTTCTCCATCTTTGGCTGCAGAGCACATAGTCAATCTGATTTCTATGTTGACCGTCTGGTGATGTCCATGTGTAGAGCCGTCTCTTGGGTTGTTGGAAAAGAGTGTTTGTTATGACCATCGTATTCTCTTGACAAAATTCTATTAGCCTGTGCCCTGCTTCATTTTGTACTCCAAGGCCAAACTTGCCTGTTATTCCGGTTATCTTTTGGCTTCCTACCTTAGCATTCCAATCCCCCATGATGATAAGGACATCATTTTTTGGTGTTAATTCTATAAGGTGCTGTAGGGCTTCATAGAACCGGTCAATTTCATCCTCTTCAGCACCAGTGGTTGGGGCATAGATTTGGACTACTGTGATATTGAATGGTTTGCCTTGGATTCGAATTGAGATCATTCTGTCATTTTGGGGATTGTATCCCAGTATTGCTTTTCCTATTCTTTTATTGACTATGAAGGCTACTCCATTTCTTCTGAGGGATTCTTGCCCACAGTAGTATACCTGATGGTCATCTGAGTTAAATTCACCCATTCCTGTCCATTTTAGTTCGCTGATTCCTAAGATGTCGATGTTCAGTCTTGTCATCTCTTTTTTGACTACGTCTAGCTTGCCTTGATTCATGGATCTTACATTCCAGGTTCCTATGGAGAAAAAATCTTTACAGCATCGGACTTTCCTTTCACCACCAGATATATCCACAGCTGAGCATCCTTTCGGCTTTGGCCCAGTCGCTTCATTCTTTCTGGCGCTACTAGTACTAGCCCTCTGCTCTTCCCCAGTAACATATTGGACACCTTATAGCATTCTTTA